ATTTTTTTCAGAATGTGTCATAGAAAAAGGTGTCACAAAAGCATAAAGAGGTCAACTTGATTCTAGAAAACAGATGGCATGACTTTAGTATAAAGCTTGGTGTTGTGGAGGGAGCCCTGGCCTGAGCTTGGAGTCCCCACCAACTGGTGACTTTGAACAGGGACTTAGATACAGTTTGGAGTCCCCACCAAGTGGTGACTTGAACAAGGGACTTGTGTCAGCTGACCTCTAAGGTTCCATCTAACTAAACTCTTTTGGGTCTGTAAATTTACACAAGTCAGCTCAGATGATGAGGATGTCTCATTCCAATAGGCTTGTCAAGGGTTGCCTGTGTTCTCCAACTTTGATCGCTGTATTGTCATGGAGTTAATGCAAACATAACCTGGAGAGTGACCACTTGGTCAAGGCACAGCTGAGCCAAGAGCCACTTGGGGTCTGTTTGATAAGTGAGAAGCTCTCCTGGCGGTGGAATGCAAACCCCCAGCTGCCAGGACGGGAAAGAAGAGAGAAGATTAAAGAGAACCAAGCCCAATACCATAATATCTCCTCCTTTTATTAATTCAGCAAATATCTTTGTGGCACCTCCTATAGCCCAGAGACAGTACAAGGCACTGGAGATTCATAAAGAGCAGAGCAAATCCAGCCCCTGCCCTCACAGAGCTTACATTGGAGAGAGAAGAAGTTAAACACTCTTAAAAATTTAATGACAATTGTAAGTTATGCTTTGAAGGAGACATTTAAGATGATATGAGACTACTGGGCTCTAGGTGTGACTCTACAGGATAAACATGGGACTGTGAACCACAAGGTCATCAGTTCAAACCCAGCTGTTCCTCAGAAACCCTAAAAAGAGTCACTATTGGAACCAACTGACGGCACTTAACAACAATAACATGAGACTACTGAGTCCTGGTGTGGCGCTGTGGGCTAATGTGTCAGACTGCAAAGTTGCTTGAACTGCAACGTTGGTGATTCAAGCTCACCAGCTGCTCCTTGGAAACCCTATACAGGGTCACTATGGGTTAGAATCGACTCGATGGCACTTAACAACAACAACAACAGAATAGGATAAGCACTGGACTGTTAACCACAAGGTCAATGATTCAAACCTACCAACCACTCCTCAGAAACCCTATACAGGGTCACTGTGAATTGGAAGTGACTCGATGGCACTTAACAATAAGAGGCATGATGAGGCAACGATGCCTTTGCTTGGGAAAATAAATTTGTTCCCCTTTACAGTAGAGGAGATGAATGACAGCTAGCAATCAGCCCTGAAATTGTAATCAACTTTTTTTTTTAGAATATCTAAATCTCTTTTATAACTTACTATTCTCAAAGATTACTTACTAAATATTTTTCCTTCTTTAGTTTTCCATAAATTAATCCAAGGCCCACTTGTTTGATTTTTATGGCTTGTTTTTATTACGACAGTCTGGGAGCAGCAGGGGTACCTTAGGGCAGGTGTACTGTGAACAGATGTATTCATTGGTCTTGCCTTTTTACAAAACAGGTACCAATTTTGACCCAAGTGAATCGAAGATTCTGAGGAAAGATGGAATCATTGTTAGCAACTCTCTGGCTGCATTTGCTCACATCAGAGGTAGGTTGTTGAATTGAAGCTTCCTAGAATGTGAGTAGAATTATTAAAGTCTAATTAACCAATGTACTATTTAATAACAACAGATAAGCTCAGATTATAAAGAACAACTACTTTAAATTTGACATAGAAACTGATGCAAGCTAAGAATCACAGAGCCTTGAATTTAAGTACAGTTCCAACCAGGCTACCAACCAGAGAACCACATAAGGTCAGCCTAGTTAGAAGGTGTGAGACATAAATAGAATTCTCACTTTCCATGTGGGAGACCCAGGTTCAATTTCTGGTCAAAGCATCTGATGCTCAGCCATTACCTGTTCATCAGTGGAGACCTAGATGTTGTTGTGATGCTGGGCAGGTTTCAGCAGAGCTTCCAGATTAAGACAGACTAAGAAAGCCCTGCTAATGTACTGCCAACAAATCATCCAATGAAAATGTTATGAATCCCAACAGTCCAATCCACTGCCAATCATGAGACCGGTATAAGATCGGACAGTGTTTTGTTCCATTGTGCATGGGGTTGACATTAGTTGGAGCCAATTTGATGGCAGCTGGAGTCCTGGCGTGGCACTGTAGGATAAACTCTGGACTGCTAACCACAAGGTTGGTGTTTCAAACCCTCCAGCCACTCCTTGGAAACCCTGTAGAGGGACACTACGAGTCAGAATTGACTCAGGGGCACTTAACAATAACAACAGCATTTAGGAATCAAACTCCATAAGAATTTTCACCTTTGAAAAATAGAAATCTGAGGGATACGTTTGCCAGCTTTAAAATTTGGAAAGGGCATAGGTTTAATTCAGTTCCACCCCTGACTGGAAGACAAATAAGCCAGGAGATGGCTTAGTCAACAAAGCAGGCCATGCCCTGTGAAGGCAGTGATTTTCTGAGTCACCAGTGTTACGTCTCCTGGTTGCCAAGGTTTCCCTTGTTAATCTTCCCCACAAGGATCAATCAGACTCAGCCCTCTTTAATTAGCCGAGCCACCAGACTCACAGGCAGACGGCCCTGCTGCAGATCTTCAGGGACAGGAGGGTGCGCACAATCTTTCTTCACCACCCTCTTAAGACAGGTTGTATTTTAGCAGGTTACATCGGCAAGTTCCAGCAATGTCTGACTACTCAGAGAGACAAGACCTCTGAGATCTTTTGTAAAATGTACATTAATATACTATATGGCACTAATACTATTTGAGACTTACTCCTTAAAGGAGAATAAAGGCTTAAGGAGCTATCTCAATGCACAAGATAGACAGGTCAGTTTTGGGTGCTCTTCCATTCTATCATCTCCCCACATCCAGAGTCCTCCTTCTAGTGTTAGGAGTGTGGGGCTGGCTTCCCTCTGGGGATCTTCTCTTTCCAATCACCTCCCCATTTCCACCTCCTGTTTTTCATTCTCACCCGGATCATTGTCAAAATTAAGAAAGATGTCACTTTGATGACTAAGTCTGACATAATCCATAGCCTTTCCAATGACCTCATATGCATGTGAAAGCTGGACAATGAAAAAAGAAGGCAAAAGAAGAGCTGGCGTATTTGAACTGTTGTTGTTGTTGTTAAGTACCGTGGAGTCGGTTCTGACTCATAGTGACCCTACACAGAGTTTCCGAGGCTGTAAATCTTTTTGAGAGCAGACCATCTCATCTTTCTCCCACGGAACCACTGGTAGTTTCAAACTGCCGACCTTGAGATTAGCAGCCCTATTCATAACCACTATGCTACCAGAGCTCATTTTGAATTGTGGTGTTAGCAAAAAATATTGAGTATACCGTGGACTTCTAGAAGAACAAAAAAATCAGTCTTAGAAGAAACGCAACCAGATGGATTAACAGTACATAATGTCACAAGAATGGGCTCAAATATACTAAGAATCATGGAGATGGTACAGGTCCAGGCAGTGTTTCATTCTGTTATACATAAGATGGCCTTGAGTCAGCACTGTCTAAATGGTTAACTTACAACAACAAATTCTAATTTTTGTTTTACTGACATCTGGTTTTGTATGTGTACCTCACATATGCCTGCAGGCTGGTCTTTTGACGCCTAATTCCTTGACACTGCCCTTGCCCCCTTGGGACCATCACAAATATGTGTTTTCGGCTTCTGGAAGACCCTGCTGTGAACTTCTGGGGTGTGCCACGGGTAGAGGGGAAAGAGAAGAAGGTACAGGTTTGCAGCTTCTGAGCTGGGGATGTAGCATGCAAAAGGGAAAACTTTGAGATGACAAGAACTGCAGGCTATCAGACAAACTCACGTTGAAATAGAAGTATAAAAACACATTCCAAGTCAGAGTTACATGATCCTCTTTTAGTGGGGAAATCAGCGTCACCTTGTCACATAGGTTTGAATTCCGAGTTCCCACGGTCTCCAATCTTTGTTCTGTGATTAAAAGCTAAATTATTATCATATCCCTAAGTGTGGTCAGACTTTGTGCTTTCACCTGGAGGGACCTCTAGCCCTGCTGCTGTCTGGATTCTGCCAACATGGCAGTGCCCAGCAGGTAGAACCCTTGCCTGGGCCTCTCGGCGTCTTACTTGGATGCCAATACTTTTGAGCTAAGGCTTGTAGCAGCCACAGACCTGGGATCTAATGGTTGGAACAGGTCTTAAAGGCTACTGACCACCATTCTGAAGCTCCATCAGGCATACCCAATAACAAACTGATGAAATGAAAGGCTTTCATTCTAGCTGGTGATGAACAAAGGCTAAATTTAACCGTAACAAGTACATTAATCAATAAAATGATATTGGTTGTATAAGAAAAAAGAAGAATGCAATCAATATAAAATATTCCAAAAAGAAACCACCAACAACATGAACACACACATATACTGTTAGCATCCCAACTTCAAAAAAAAATGTGGAGAATCTGTTTAAACACAAGGAGACTAGCACCTTCATTTTTTTTAAATTTTTTTCAGAATGTGTCATAGAAAAAGGTGTCACAAAAGCATAAAGAGGTCAACTTGATTCTAGAAAACAGATGGCATGACTTTAGTATAAAGCTTGGTGTTGTGGAGGGAGCCCTGGCCTGAGCTTGGAGTCCCCACCAACTGGTGACTTTGAACAGGGACTTAGATACAGTTTGGAGTCCCCACCAAGTGGTGACTTGAACAAGGGACTTGTGTCAGCTGACCTCTAAGGTTCCATCTAACTAAACTCTTTTGGGTCTGTAAATTTACACAAGTCAGCTCAGATGATGAGGATGTCTCATTCCAATAGGCTTGTCAAGGGTTGCCTGTGTTCTCCAACTTTGATCGCTGTATTGTCATGGAGTTAATGCAAACATAACCTGGAGAGTGACCACTTGGTCAAGGCACAGCTGAGCCAAGAGCCACTTGGGGTCTGTTTGATAAGTGAGAAGCTCTCCTGGCGGTGGAATGCAAACCCCCAGCTGCCAGGACGGGAAAGAAGAGAGAAGATTAAAGAGAACCAAGCCCAATACCATAATATCTCCTCCTTTTATTAATTCAGCAAATATCTTTGTGGCACCTCCTATAGCCCAGAGACAGTACAAGGCACTGGAGATTCATAAAGAGCAGAGCAAATCCAGCCCCTGCCCTCACAGAGCTTACATTGGAGAGAGAAGAAGTTAAACACTCTTAAAAATTTAATGACAATTGTAAGTTATGCTTTGAAGGAGACATTTAAGATGATATGAGACTACTGGGCTCTAGGTGTGACTCTACAGGATAAACATGGGACTGTGAACCACAAGGTCATCAGTTCAAACCCAGCTGTTCCTCAGAAACCCTAAAAAGAGTCACTATTGGAACCAACTGACGGCACTTAACAACAATAACATGAGACTACTGAGTCCTGGTGTGGCGCTGTGGGCTAATGTGTCAGACTGCAAAGTTGCTTGAACTGCAACGTTGGTGATTCAAGCTCACCAGCTGCTCCTTGGAAACCCTATACAGGGTCACTATGAGTTAGAATCGACTCGATGGCACTTAACAACAACAACAACAATTGGATCCAAAATCTACACTAATGGAAGCAACAGTCAAGAGACTAAATGATGTATTGCGAGAGCAAATCTGCTGCACATGACCTTTTTAAAGTGTTGAAGAGCAAAGCTATCAGTATGAAGATTAAGGTTTACCTGACCCAAACCATGGCATTTTCAATAGCGTCATATGCATGTGAAAGTTGGACAATGCATAAGGAAAATGATAGAAGAGTTAATGCATTTGAGTTAGGGTGTTGGAGAAGAATATTAAAAGTATCATGGACTGCCAGAATAACAAATAAATCTGAGTTGGGAGAAGTACAACCGAATGCTCCTTAGAAGCCAGGATGGAGAGACTTCATCTTTTATACTTGGGACATATTAGCAGGAGAGACCAGACCCTGGAGAAGGACGCCATGCTTAGTAAAGTGGAGGGTCTGTGAAAAAGAGGAAGACCCCCAATGGGATGGATTGGCTCAGTGGCAAAAGCAAAGGACTCAAGTTTAACAACGATTATGAGGCTGGCGCAAGACCACTCAGTATTTTGTTCTGTTGTGTATAGTGTTACTATGAGTCAGAACCGACTCAATGACATCTAACAACAACAACGATGATGACAGTGGGACTGGCCTGGACTGAGGGGTGAGATACAGACGGCTACATGAAGAGTGACAAGGGGATAAGAGCATCCCAGGCTTTTCACCCCACAAATACAAAGCACATGTTAAAGCACCAAGCCATCTGGCATCCAGAAGGAAGCCCGCTGTGTTGCCGCAGAGTAGAGAGTAAAGGAAAGACTGTTTGGAGATGATGATGCAAAGAGTAACAATAACTGGGTCAAAGCCAGCTTCATAGGCAATGGTCAGGATGTGATTGTTGCCTCAGGACAGAAGCAGAGCCACTTATGGATATTAAGCAGGGCCATGATATGATCCAATAACGATCACAATAAAGAATCCCTTGGGTGGCACAAATGGTTAAACACTCCACTACTTGCTGAAAAGTTGATGGTTCAAACTCTCCCAAGGGCACTTTGCAAGACATGTCTGGTGA